GTTGTATTTTAAAATATTTTTTATTTAAAAATATATTAAAATAATAATTATTTTATTTTTAAATTTTATTTTTCATATTAAAACATCTCTAAAAATATTAAAAAAAATATTAATTTGATGTGAAGTAAAAAATATAAAAAATTTAAAATTTTATTAGAAACACTTAAAAAAAATCTCTAAAAAAATGCAATCTAAAAATAAATTCGCTGCACAACGGAACAGGTTATAACCCGTGCTTAACTTGTGAGAGATAACAACTAACTTGTAATAAATACAAATAGAAGCAGGTTTCACATATATATATTCTTTATTTATTTAAGACTTAATATATCAAAAGGTGATAATTACTTTGTATTATAAAACAAATGCAAGTTCAGTGGATATAAAGAATATTAGTGATATATGGATATTTAAGGATTTTTTTTCTCTATAAGAATACTAATTATTATTCTAAGAAAAGCAGTAAAGAAGGGATGAAAATATATAGCTGTATAAATATAAATATAAATATAAATATAAATATAAAGTGCAGATCATCATGTAATTTGAGGGGGAAAGATTGAAGTGAAGCATATACAATGAGAGTGATAATATTAATTTAGAGCTTCGATTTAATGGATTTAATTTTCATCTTCTTTGATTTGAATATTTAACTAAACTTAATTTTTTAATTATCGCTTTGTCCTTTCCTTTTCTTTGAATTTCTCAAACTTAATTCTCTCTTTCTTTTCAATTTGATTTTGAGCCCGTTTCGCTATGATTTAGCATTTGTTTTATTATTTAACCATAATTTTATGAGTTTTGATTTCAGTTTTTGAGAAGCTACTTCTTTTTGTTATGTTTTTTCTTTGTTTTTGATTAAACTGTATTTTATTATTGTTGAATTTATTATTCATAATACCAAAATAACTTCACTCTCATTACTCTCATTTGAACTAATCAAAAAATCAAAGCTAGCTAATTTTTGCATAAATTAAAAATTTCATGAGACCCAAGTTTTTGTATCTGTAAATTATAAAAATATACAAATGTTTTCATTCTCAACAATTATTTACATAATTTAATCCCTCCTACGAATTGTTCTAATCTATATAGTTCCATGTTCACAACTTTATGAAAACTAGAGGTCTTTCTTTATGGATTATGTTTGAGAAGTTTAATGGGACAATAAAATTAGTATTGTAATTTGCATGGTTGTTTTTACAATGTATTAATAATGAAATGCACATTAATATATTATAAAATAAAAAATTAATGCATATCCTTTTTTATCATTTTATTACCAATATCAATTTCAACAATTATTTTAACCAAACATCTTGGACATGTTCTTTGTTAAATAATAATTTTAATCATAATTTTATTCAAATATGTATTTTAATCTAAACAATTATAATTAAAAATAATTTATTTAAATTTATTTTTTTAGACCACAGTCACAAAAACTACCTTTTCCAAGAGTTGAGTGAATAGCTAGCAAAGAGACCATTACTAAATTTCCAATCTCAACTAATATGTTCAAAGTGGCAAGACTCAGCCTCTATTCTTCGTAAATTTTTATTTTATTTTCTTCTATTTTGCTCTTGCAACAATACGAGTGAGAGAGAGAGACGACCACCTCATTTGTTTGTGTTTCCGATTTTCATTCATGGGGTTTCTTAATTAGGAGAGAGTATTAAATTTGATGGTAGGAAAGCAGTGCTGTGAGGATGCAAAGGGGAGGAGGTTGGTGGTGGTGGTGGTGTTGCTGACGGCTATTGATGGTGCCTTTGCCAGCGCTGATTGTTGATGGTGCCACTGCTAGCGGTGACTGTCGTTATTAATATACAGTGGCATTCTCGTTTTTTCAATTTCGTGATAAGCTAGCATCGATTGAGAATGTGAAGGCTAATTTCTAAGAAGTTGGCATGTAAAGTGTTCTCACGTATATCGATATTTTCAGTGATAAATCTCATATGGGATTACAGAAATCCATTGAAACTCTTCATAATAAAATAAAAGATACTATACTATCTTCGTCTCCTTTATTTCTCTCTTGCCAGCTACAAGAAGATGTAAAGCTCTACAAATTAATCAAAGGTACAACTAAACGTAACACTAACTTTCAGCAGCAGGAACTTTTGATATCAACCTCAACGCTTCACCATATATAATGCAAGGCAAAAACCAGGATTGCAAGGTACGCTTAATAATGCGTACAGAAATTTATTGACTGTAGATGCATATATCACAATATTAAACTATTAAATATTTGCGTTATTTTGTCCTCAATAAAAGATGTCATGAAATTCAGCTAATTAGCCGTTGGACCGGTGGAGGGACCAACTTTGTAATGGCCGTCCCGTGGAGGACCGCTTTGAATTCCTCCAGCCTTCTCAACTGCATGAACACAAAGAAATTAATTATGCCATAAGATAGTTCATAATTTCCTTTTAGGACCTCGGAGATACATAATTTATTTTTCAAACAAATAACAATGGAGTAAGGCAAAAGAAGAGTTTATAACAGAGATAACATATGGTACTGGCATGCTTGCGTTTATGCCTTCGGCCACTTAAGAAATTTAGTTAGCCCTAATATGTTGAAGTACATTACATAGAGTCATATGGGCTTAAATAACGTATGAATAACTAAAGCACACTGTTGGATTCATATGAAGTGGCCTCCCACATATGCAATCAGAATTAATCCTTATAAAAAGAAAAGATTTTCCCTGGTCCTCTTTTAAAAGGTAATTAGCTAAATATCCCTTTTCTTTTATTTTTCTTTGATGATTAAGCTAATTAAGTATCTCTATTCAGAGTTGCTATGAACATATGAGATGTTCAAATTGTAAAGTAACCACTTAATTAAATTAATTAAATCCACATAATTGGTGAAAGATAAAAATGAGTAGAGTTGTTGGCAAAATTAATGAAATTGTTGGCATAATTAGTGAAATATAAGTGAAGATGAATTACTAGTATAATTTATGTTATAATTGGTGATATAATTTATGGTCTTTGTCTTATCATTCTTGTACATAAATAGATAATACATCTAAATCTTAAATGCACATCAAGATAGAAAGAAGAAGAGAAAAGTAAAGAGAGAGTAATACCACAAAGTTGTAAAATATTTATGATAAAATAAGTGAGGTATTTTCTTCTAATAATAAAAAAATTCTTAGTTATTTTCATATTATTTAAGAGAGATTGTAATTTTTGCATTACTTAATAAAAAAAATTTATATTTGTTTATAGATATAATCTAATTAAATAAACCATATAAATTTTTATATTTTATTTCTGATTTTATTTTATCTCTTATCTTTTATCTTATCAAATATATATATAGCAGTATCCTAACACAAATAAACTCATCATTTGATTAAGCTTTTCTAACTCAGCAACATTTTGAAGAACCAAGAAATTAAGAAGGGGCAGGTCCGACTTACAAATCATAAGAGGCCTGGCAATCTCTGACAGATCCCTTGATCCCATTGCAGAAGACAAAAGAAGTATGACAATCAAGAAAGCGTTCCAAAAACATAAAAATTTCTTAGAAGCCATTGTTCCTGTAATAATACAAAGCACATTCGATGAGAACATAGGTGTGTGTGTGTGTTTTTATATATAATAATCATACATGGGCGGAGCTAGAATTTCTAGGTTGGGTGGCATGGGTTGACTGAGATGGTTTGGGAATTAATGCCATGGCAAGATGTATTAAACTGAAGGGTAGAGAAATTTGCGAGGTTTGGAGGTTTCATGGAAACTGTGGCTAAAGCTAGCTGGGCCCGCCCCATGAATCCTTAATAAGGTATCCTTGCGAGAATTCTTTCATGTGGAAAACTGAGAACAAAGACAATTTGAAAGTCCAAGTCCTTGCCATTAATCTATATATTTGGAGGCCACTGCGTGTCTAGACTTTTGGCCAAGGTGACTTCCAAGACTTTGCCCTCAAAATCTTGTGTTTGAAATGGGAATAATTAACGCTAACATCAAGGTTATTAATTTTATTTTGTTTTTTTTAAATGATTAAAATATTTTATATCAATTAAAAAAATAAAATAAAATTAAATAACTTTCATTTCATTTTAAATCTCGATCTGTTCTAGATTTTAGCTAATCTCGATCTGTTCTAGATTTTATAGCTAAATTTCAGCTGAAATGTTTCGATTTCATTCCACATATTTCATTCTAGTCTTGAAAAATCATTGAATCAAATTAAACCTGGTTCAATTTAATTAATTAAACCACCCAAATATAAAAAAAAAATTTCATTATTATTTTCAATAACAATGATATTAATAATAATATTGAAAATTATTATTACTATTTTCATTAACAATGATATTAATTTTTTAAAATTAAATTTGTCACTAATATATATGGTTTATATTTACGTTTTTTTCTTCATGTTTATACTTTGTAGGAATTTGAACAAAATAAGGAATGTTTTAGATCCTATTAGTCTTGATAACATTAATCTAACTTTATATTTAAAATATTTGTGTTAAAACATTTTATTTTCATAATATTTTGATATTTTATTTAAGTTAAATTACTTTAAGTTAAAGATTGATTTAATCTTAACTATTTAAAAATATTTTAAATTTTACAATTATATTTGTTTGGTGTGTATGTGTGTGTGTATATATATATATATATATAAACAGTACAATCCTAACCTTAAGACAAAACACTTCAAAACTAAAACATTTTATTTTAGTTAAAAATATAAAATAACTATTGAAACAGAATTTACTACATGGTTGAAACACAAAGACTAATTCACGTTAGTTTGTTAGGCTTCACGCAAGCTACAAGAAAAGCCTTGTATATGGCACCTCAGCAAGACGTCACCCATCAAAGTTAATGGACACTTATCTATTTTTACTTGTATATTTAAAGAAAAATTGATTTTTGTTGAGCTATCCAACTAAGATTAACCCATTAATATTAATATTACTATTGTATTTTTATGGTCGGAACGTGGCTAACCAAACTCTATCACTCTTCTCTTCTTTTTTTATCACTTTATCTCTTTCCTCTAAACATTAAACAAATAAAATTTAAAGTCTTGTTTGTTTTATAAAAAATAATTTTTATAAAAATAATTTTTTATATTTTTCATATTTATTTAATATTAGAATAATTACTCAATAGATTTTTCAGCCAAAAAAAATTAAACTTGATTTATAAAAAAATATTTTTTTATTTTAGGAGGAATATATTTTTTAGAAGTTATAAGAAATTCAAAAATATCTTATTATTTATTAATTTTATTAAATTTACTCATCAATTATTTAACTACTATATATTTTATTTTGAATTTGTTTTAATTTATTTATTTTTCAATCTCATCTATTAAAATTTGATTTTTATATCAACTTTGATATTTATTATTTTATTTCTTATTTGCTTTTCTCTTAACTTTTTTTAATTAAAATTTTTTATTTATCAAGTTTGATCCCTATTTTATTTATTTATTTTATTTAAAATAATTTATGAAATTGAGATTTATTTTTTAATTTTATTGCCTTTCAACTTTTTTATCTTTCAAATTCAATCTTTATTTTTTTTGCTAATTTTTTTATTTTAAATAATTAATGAAATTAATTTTTTTTAATTTTATCCTTTTTTAAAAGTTTTATCTTTTAGATTTGATTTTTATTGTTTTAATAAATTTTTAAAAAAAATTAAAAATTTATTTTTCAACTCATTTTTAGAACATAGTCCAATAATATAAAATATTTTCTAACTTATTTTTTATAATATTGTTAAATATATAAAAAAAAAATATTTTTCATGAAACCATTTTGAAAATGAACACTGCTTTTTAACAAACAAAGCTTAAGAACAAAAACAAAAATCTTAAAAATTGAAATTTCAAATATCACATCAAAGTTTTTCAAACTTTTTCACAATAAAAAAATAATTTTTTATTTAATTTTAGTTTTTATATTTTTAATTTTTTTAACCATGGGTTAAGTTTAACTTTTACTGTAAAAAGGTTTTGGTTAATAAATTCAAACACAAGAGTTATAATAAACGATAAATATAGTCATGAAACTCATCTCAACCGCAAATCTATTCATCCATCAATCCTGACTGTAATCTGAATACACACACACACAAGAGTTAATGAGAGGAACAAGGGATGATGAGCTGCAGGTTGCAAGGTTCTGAGACTGAGACTGAGACCCAGATCAATAATACCATCACCTTCCTAGGCTGATAGTAAGAGGAGTGCGGAGCTGGAGGGTTTAGAAGGAAGCCTGATGCATCTGAATCCAATGGATTAACATTGCAGGATTAATGACTAGAATGAATGCTTGTTGTAAGAACTTGGAATTGTGGTGACCTATTTACACACTGAATTCTGCAATGAGAATTGAAAGTAGAAGTGGGTGGCAACCAAGTAGACAGGTAAGCTTTCTCCCATTATCAACATTATTGCAGTGGTTCTGCTTTTCAGGTTGGAAATCCGACGGTGAGCAACCTGTCAGTGAATGATCAGGGTTAAACTGTATGAATTTTAGTTTGGGTGGCAAATTAGGAAAAACATTCTAAGAGGGTCAAAATTTAAAATTTTTATTATTAAAACTAAAAATCTAATTTTTCAGAGGAAAAAAAATTACTTGCAAGAGCGGCGGCCCTAACAGCCCTCTGCTTCCGCCACTGGGAGCAACTCACAAATATGAAATTATCTTATCAGCATCAGAAAAGGTAGGGGGAGGAGATGCACACAGTATTAAGACTACAGTCCACTTCGAAAAATTACTCAAAAGTCCGCCGCCATAATTGATGAGAGAGAAATACACAGTCCACTTACGAGAGATGAGCATAAAATATGTCATCATATGCAGAGCTAGTCAAGTCTGCACCGTGTGGAGCCCAAGCGGCTAGGCCAGCGCGGGACGAAGATTCTTATTATTTAAATAAACGAAAAACACGTCATAGCAAATATATCCGTGTGGAGCCCAGGGGTTTAGGCCAGTGCGGGACGAAGATTCTTGGAATTTATTTAAATAAACGAAAAACACGTCATAGCAAATATATCCGTGTGGAGCCCAGGGGTTTAGGCCAGTGCGGGACGAAGATTCTTGGAATTTATTTAAATAAACGAAAAACACGTCATAATAAATACTAGATATCATGTCCATGAGATGCCACGAGCTTATACATACTTGTATATTATTATAAAAAAATAAAAAAAATTATATAAAAAAAAACTATTACAATCTATAATATTTTAAAAAAAAAAACTATAAAATTAAATTTTTAAATAGATTAATATTTAAAAAATAACATGAATAAAAATATTTTAGAAAAAATCATAACAAAAAAATAAAAGAAAAAAATCCATGCAGGAAATATTGTAAGAGAAAATTTATAGTTGTAATTATTAATTAATTTAATATTAAAAATAATAAAAATAATTTTAAAAAAATCATAATAAAAAAATTATATAATATTTCCTA